GGGGGGGGGGGGGAGGCAACCCTCCCCCAACCAACCAATCAATCAATCAATCAAAAAAAGAAGGGGTAACTTCGGCGCAGTCACGAAAACAGTAATCGCACTTCAGGCAATCCCGGGAATACAACACACCCCCACGCGACCCCACCGGACCCGAAACGTAGGTCACATACATTCAGCATTACCGGCCCTTTTGCCTCAAGTGAAATACAAACTCAATCCCTGACTGCGCCGTAGTTTTCTCAAAAAAGAAAGGTGCACGGCATCATTTTTTTCTTTTTCTTTTTTCATTAATCAATCAATCAATCAATCAATTTTTATTTCTTTATTTTGTTTTTTTTTTTGCATTTTGATGTTCTTTTTTTTTTTTAATATAAAAAAGACAAAAAAATAAAATAAAAAATATGGGGGTCTAGAGCACGGAAAGCTCTACATCCCCACATATATATATATATATATATATATATATATCGTCATATATATAGTTTACGTTTTTTTTTGGGGGGGGGTGGTCACTTTGTACGTTATCTGCGGTACGGGCGTACGACCGTATGTACGGCCGTACGACCGTATGTACGTCTTTACAACAGAACCCCGGTTCGACGTAGGGGGGCAACACAGGCTGACCCGACAGGACAGTTTCACCAAGAAATAGGAAAAGTACCATGAAAGATGCGTCCGCGGCATTAGGCACATGAAAGAAAATTATGCCCCCAGAGGGCCGAGCGCAGGGGCTGTTGCAGAATAGAAGGCGAACGAACTCCATGCCAATAGGTACGCAGGCCAATGTTACCTGTGGATTGATGTACCAAGGAGGGAAGGCAGACAAGGGAAAAAAGAAAAAAGTAATAGAGGAAACGCCTACTTTCTGGGACACGGGTAGGGGGTATGGGTCTTTTCCAGAATCCTACCAGCCATGACACGCAACCGTTCGAGAGAAGAAACAGGCATTGTTTTTTTTTAGCCGAGACGCGCGGTACAGTGTGGGATGTGAACTTTTTCCCAAAAGTACCTTAACTAAAGACTGTTGGATCAGAGCGCAGGGGCCACGCCACACCAATGTAGAAAACGGCATTTTCGACTTTTTCTCCTCGCCATGCAGCATGTAGAAATCCGACATGTGAAAAAAACTCAGGAGCTGTCAGGGAAAGGGTTGCGACACCTCCTCTCGAGCAAGGCTCGTTTCTCAGCCTGCAACTTGGACATTTTCAAGTTTCAACAGTCCTCCCATGGGATGTCGAGTTCTTGCCTGAATGTTGAAAAGGAGAACCGACCAACGCTTGTCCTATCTTCACCCCAGTTTGTCTCTTTTGTGCATAGGACTTGTGAGTTCTTCACTTCCGCATGCTGTGTTGCGAAGAGGGGTTTTCTGTTGAAAGAGGCAATGTCGAGAATTTCCTGACATATGTCGAATGTCCTGATGTTTTGACATTGGTGTGGCATGGCCCTAAATCAACCAAAGCTAGCCTTCCTGTATTTAATGAGTAAGTCGAGCAAAGCTAGCATTGCGTCTCCTGGTTCTCTGACTAGAGGAATGCTCGTCCAGCGTGTGAGGTGACGAGAAGTGGAGCTGAGGAGCCAGACGGGCTCGAAGCCCATGCTCACAAACGAAGCGCCAGAGAGACAGAGACAGCAGAAGACAACGAGGTCATTCGGAGAGGAATATGGACAGAGGGAGGCAGATGACCAGGATGTTGTCAGTCACAGAAACAGACGTAGGAGGCTAGGAGCCAAGACCTGAGGCACAGAGAAGGTGCGGCGGGCCGAGTCCAACCACGGAGATGGCGAGGAAGAGAAAAAACAGGGATAGGAACAACATCCCAGTGAGATCTCGTCATTTTTTCAAGCTCGGCAAAGTCAGAGTGTCCAACAGGAAGGTAAAAAGAACCCAAACATTAAAAAAAAAAAGAGAAAACTACGGCGCAGTGAGGGATTGAGTTTGTAATTGCACTTGAGGCAAAAGGGCCGGTAATGCTGAATGTATGTGACCTACGTTTCGGGTACGGTGGGGTCGCGTGGGGTGTGTTGTATTCGCCGGATTGCCTGAAGTGCAATTACAAACTGTTTTCGTGACTGCGCCGAAGTTACCCCAAAGAAAAAAGGAAGAGACGAGCATGAGATTGGGTTGGAACACAATACATCCCTGAGCGTTGACGCTGGACCCGCTTTCCCGCAGCAGGTGTCGTTCCCCACCAATAGAAGGACCCTTTCCACGCAGGAAAAAAAAAAAAAAAAAAAAAAAAAAAAAAAAAAAAAACACCGACCATTCTCGTGACCACTCTCCCTCCACCTGCACGTTTCGCCTCTTTGCCATGCACCAAACATGTTCAAGTTGAGCCGAGCTAATGAAGGGAGGGTCGGAGCAGTCCGACTGAAGAGCCAAGGATAGAGGGAGCGAGCAGCAGTTCGCACGCTGGCAAGCCAACTTGCCCACGTGTCACAGTTGGCGAGCCAACTCGCCTACGTGTCATCGTGTGACACGTGGGCAAAGAGGCGAAACGTGCAGCTCGCTCCCTCTATCCTTGGCTCTTCAGTCGGACTGCTCGCTCAGTTTGTGAGCTCAGCTCCACTTGAACATGTTTGGTGCATGGCAAAGGGGCGAAACGTGCAGGTGGAGGGACAGTGGTCACGAGCTTCATCGGGGTTTTTTTTTTTTTTTTTTTTTTTTTTTTTTTTTTTTTTTGCGTGGAAAGATTCCGTCTATTGGTGGGGAGCAAGCTGCGAGGAGCAAGGTCCCATGTACGAGGCTATGAGCTGGCTGTGCGTCCAAAGCGACAGAATAGCACTTGTCAATTGCCTTGACTAAAGAATAGCACGTGCGGTGAAGGTGCCTGGTGGGTGGACGCATGGGACACACAAAAGCCTTTGAATTAACAGATCAAGAAATGCAATTCAAAAGTGTGCGAACAAGAGTGGGCTACCATCGAGCAACGGGCCGCATCCACTCCGAGGTTGATAACCAAAACAAAAGGGTGGTATTCCCTTTGGGAAGGTAAGAGAGTAGAAGGCGGAGGGGACAAGTAGTGCCACAATTTTGCTTCCGCACCCCCGCGATGGGCAGGTCGCGAGGTTCCCTTTCCCCCCGGAAAAAAGACAGGGAGCCTGGGATGGTAGAGACGGAGGAGAGCAGGGGAAGGAAGAGGCGAAGGAGGAGGAGGAGGAAGAAGAGGAAGGGAGGAGGAAAAGGGCGACTAGAACGAAGCGAGGGAGGAGGAGAAAAACGAGTACACAAGGGTAGTAACCGAGAAGACTGGAACCTGTAGGAGTCAAGGAGGAGGAGGAGGAGGAGGAGGGCCACGAGGAGGGGGGGGAGACGTGAAACTTGAAAAGGCCATGAAAGAACACGAGTGGAAGGCGGAGGAGGAGAGCGGACTCAGCGGAGTGTGGTAATGAATGAGGCCTAGGAGCAAGGGGAGCCGGGGGAGGAGGGCAGAGAAGGCGGGACCATGGCACTCGCCTTGCTGTTGGACATCGGGTCAATAGAGCTAGAGGAGCGGGTTAAGAAAGTTAACGGAAAAAGTACAAGGAAAAACAAATAGAAGGAAAACGAGCGAAGGACCAAAGACAGTAGAAGCTTAATTCCTTTTCTTAAATGTAAGCTATGGCGGTCCCCGCTCACCTCTCCGTTTTCTGGTGACTAGCCGAGGACGAGCAGCGTCAAGGCCTTCCAAAGCATCCCCATATAATACCTGCTGCCCGTGCAAGAACTGCGTCGAACGTGAACCGCAAATCTACCGAGCACCACGGCGAGAGAGTTCCCCACCTCGGAGATCTGAGTCTAGTAGTGTCTAGTGTCTAGTGATGCCGTCTTCTGCACCTCGTACTAGGCTCGTATGTATTTATACCGAAGCAGAGGGCCTGCCTACACGTTGTGCAAAAGCAGAGCCCAAGTACAGCAAAACTAGGCTGGCTGTAGGAGCTTTTGGACCCAGCTCTGGACGTCGAAGCTGCCAGTACATCCAGATCAAAGTGGAATTCCGGTCAGGTTCGTCAAAGCTGCAAGTGGAATTCCGGTCAGGTTCGTCAAGGGAAATCCTTGTGTGAGTATCGTGGGCCCACACGTCCACGTGCTCATGCGAGTGGCTATTACGCTTCAGGAGGGGACCAAACACTGCCGACTGTTACGTAATGACCATCTGCCACGTCTCCCAGTGCTGCCCAGCACGTAATCCACAACTCTCCCACCCCAGCCCCCCTCTATATATGGGTGAAATAGCGGCCCCACAGGTATACCATTTGTTCATGCCAGTCACTACGACACCTTACATCAGCAGGGTATCGAACACTGGACTGTAACGTAATGACCGCCGGCCACGTTTAAAAACGGGGAAAATTGCATCTGTACCCCACTTAAAGACGGGAATACCCCGTATACCCAGTCCAGCGCCCAGCTTGCATCTTGCATCTATGCCCAGACCCTGTCCAACTTTTCCTGTGTGCCAACTTATACAGGTACCCACTCCCACAGGTCCTTGTTTGGGGACCACAAAGTTATGCCTATGCCCAGGAAAGGAGCAGGCAAAAATGGGTATGCACATAATTTTGCCCAGGTAATACCCTACTTTTCCTGTGTGCCAACTAAGCCCAACTTATATGCGTACCCAGTCCCACAGGCCCTTGGTTGGGGACCACGAAATTATGCTTATGCCCAGGAACGGGGCAGGCAAAATTGGGTTGGGTATGCACACAATTTGCCCGGGTACGTGCATAATTAGCACACGGGTAGTTGGGTATAACTGCAACTTGGAGGTACCAACCTTCGCATCCCTCCATCTGGGTATGCAAAAAATAATTTGCACAGGCTATTTTCCTGGTACTTATGCAAGTTGGACACCGGGGCTGGGTATAGCGGGTATTCCCATTTTCAAATGGGGTACAGATGCAATTTTCCCTGTTAAACCACCAGTACTTGGCCCAGCTATCCATGCCGAGCCTGAAAATGGACGCACCAACCCACCAGCGCAACAAAAAAAACTTGTTTTGGCTGGGGGTGCTAGCCTTTGAGGGCGGGTACCCCTAGCCTCCGGAAGTTGCGTGGCGTTAACGGCAACGCCCCGCGGCCGATGTATGGGCCAAGTACTGGTGGTTTAAAACAAAAACGCACCTGCCACGTCTCGCTGTGATGCCCTGGAACTAATCCACAAGGGATAATCAGGCGAAAACCTTTTTCATTCCGCGCACCCAAACTTTTCCCGTTTGGCAAGAAGGGCCCACAGAGTACACAGGCCGTCGGATCTGAAGGTCGAGATTGTGTCCCGACCGTTTGGCCCCTTCCTACCGGATCATGGGCCGGGGCATTGGTTTCGCGCATCCAAACTTTTCCCGTTTCGCGAGAACGGCCCATGGGGTACACAGGCCGTCGGATGTCAAAATCTGAAGGTCGAGATTGGGTCCTTACCGTTTTGCCCGTTCCTACCAGACGGGCCCATGGGGTACACAGGCCGTCGGATGTTAAAATCTGAAGGTTGAGATTGGGTCCTGACCGTTTGGCCCCTTCCTACCAGATCATGAGCTGGGCTTTGGTTTCGCGCGCCCAGACTTTTCCCGTTTGGCAAGAAGGGCCCATGGGGTACACAGGCCGTAGGAAGTTAAAATCTGAAGGTCAAGATCGGGTCCCGAATCCCGACTGTTTGGCCCCTTTCTATGGGATCATGAGCCAGGCGCTGCTGTATCCGCGCCAGATTCATTTTCCAGTCGGCCGTTCTTGCCAAATGGGACAAGTTCGGGAAAGGTTTCTGCGCAGGCGCTTTCCACCAGTTATCCCAATCCACAAGTCCCCCACCCCAGACTCCCCCTCCCCTCCTCCTCCCAAAGAAACAGAAATGGTCTAATCGTTCAGTTCAGTTCACCGTTGTCAACAACTGTTTGCAAGAGCACTGACACGCTGTCGTTCCTTTCCTTTTGACCTCACAAAGCGAGAGCCCATGGGCCACGGATAGGTGTCACACATTGAGAGCCCTAGTTTTCTCCCAGCCTTTGCTCCACTAGGGGCATACTGCAAGGGATCTTTCTTCTGTTTTCAAGCGGTGTTTTTGGGCCTCCTCCTCGGACAACTGGTACGCAAGAACCTACTTGCTCGTTTACGGCGCCTCAGCTGCGGCCATCCAAACTTTTTCCAAAGTTATATTTTTGGGGTGATGGTGGTAGTGGCACAAACATGTTTCCAGGCAGAAGAAACACCTGCTGGCAAAACAAACAGCTGTCGTGATCGAGAAAGCAATGAAAGCACTGCGGTCGTGACAGAGGTACAGGTGTCAGAATGACAGGGGCGGACCTAGGTGCGAGACGACCAAAAGTGCCGTTTCAAACAAGGGCCTTGCAAACTCAAAACCTGCCGTGTCCATACTTGTTTCTAAATTCTTCTGCATCTGGCCTGATAAGATCCCATTTCGGTCTCCACCCATACCAGAATAGAAGGTCCGGTCATCGGGCCTCGCTGCACAACTCTCGCTGCTCCCCACTAATAGATAGAAGCCTGGTTCTTAAAAAAAAAAAGTTTCAGAATGTGGAATCCACAGGAGCCTCGTCCCACTAGCATCGATTTACACTATGGCTCCATGGTTTTCAATCACGGGCGGCGAGAGGTGACATCCGGCGACCGTAGATGCTTTTGTGTATCGTCGGCGCAGGGCGCTAAGGACCTATTTTGTTACGGTATCTGTCCGCCGGCCAATAGAAGAGTTTTGTTTTCATTTTTTTGCCCATTTAGCTAGCCACTTTGGGTTGGCGCGAAGCTGCAATATTAGGGAGGTCGGAGGGGGGGGGCGTTTTTGCATCTATGTTGTTTTCTTTTTTTATGTGGTAAAATTGAGAAAGAGATTTCCGTGGAAGACTGCGAACAGGCCGGCGGGAAGGTCGCATGCAGATGTACCGGGTTGGTGGAAGTGTGGATGCACTGAAGTTCTGTCATGATGTCTATGTCAGGCCCCGTAATTTTTCGTTTTTTGGGTCCTTTTCTTTGCATTCGTGTAAATGATAAAAAGCATTGCTTATGCATTTTTAAATGAGAAAAGAACGCCACACACCGATTTAATGGATGCTAGTGGGACGAGGCCCCAGGGAGTAGGATCTCAGCCCAGGTATAGGGAGGTCAATGTCATTTCCGTAATTCATTTATTCATTGGATTGTGCGCATGGCCACACAACACAGGACAGAAGGTGTGATACATGCATGCAAAGAACCCATGTATCTTGCCACCATCTGGGAAGACGTCCCATTCTTCCAAAATGTGTTGCCAATGCCACTGTTCAGGCAGCAACCCCAGGCCTAGATGCATTGACAACGGTTTTTTTTTTTTTTTTTTTTTTTTTTTTTTCAAACTCTTCATTATGCATGGACAACGTTTGAGAGGCCCTATTGTTAGTATATATATCCAATTGGGGGAGTATTTATTGAGGTTGGACGCATGCAGCCGAGTCCTGCCGTCTTCATCTCCCTACAAGGCCTTTTTTTCTTCTTCTTCTTTTTTCCCCAAAACTTTTTTTTTTTTTTTGAAAACAAGTGGTCCAGTCTATTCGCGGGGAGCACCACGTGCTGGGAACCGGGCCCAGAGTCCCATATAGAATTGTACAGATCATTGAGAACATTTGAGATCATTTGAGATAGGGGGGACATTACCCGGCTTCGGCTGAGAACAGTCTGTGAACAAGGCCTGATTATAGTATAGCAGAATTTGGCAAACCTATCAATGTCACCCAACTACAACGTCCCCGGCCCGTCATTATGGCTGAATTTGGGAGAATTTGGGATAATTATCACTCTATAATATACAGCCATAAACACCAGGCCTCGCTCTATTCAGGCGAAGAAGGTAGTGTCATTATGCCCTGGTCAAAGGAATGATGGATGTAAACATGAAGAGATGAAGAGATTGAGAAATGAAAAAGAGAAATAGGTGCTTGTCTCTGTTTGGTTGAGGTCCTTGAGGAGGCTCCATTATAGGCTGAGATGCAGGGTCTTTCAAGAAACATGGTAGCAGTCAATCTCTTCTGTTCTTCTTCTTCTTCTTCTTCTTCTTCTTCTTCTTCTTCTTCTTCTTCTTCTTCTTCTTCTTTTAATTATTATCTTCTGGTTTTCTGCTTGGACAACAAATGGTGCAGAAAAAAAAAAAAAAAAAGGTGCAGACCAGCAAATGTCCATCGTTGAAATTTGAGCGAAAAGGAGAGAGAAAGAAAGAGAAACAGGAAAGAAATATGGGATGCGGCGCATCGCCGCATATCTTGTTATAGCCAAAATAGATATGTTTCTTCGCCGTAGCTATGCTTGCAGGGGTCCGGGGTCCCTTCAATAGGCTTAGTGGGAGCAGTGGTAGGTAGATAGTGAAAGGTGAAATTGAGAGAAGAATATACCTTAGATTCGCTTAGAAAGAGAAAAAGAAATAAAAACAAGGAGAAAAAAAAACAGTGATCGTTCCCCTCTACTACCTAAGAACAAACATTATGATAGTATCTTAATCTGATCAGCTGCGTATGTGATCCACTGCTGGTCTGTCAATCCATTTGGAACGAGAAAACGGTTAAGTTGCAAAGGTGCACAGAAGATTAGCACGTGGCCGTAGAGCAGCATGCTGGTTTTCTTTGGATGACAGCACACTTCACTTTGCCCATTGCACATGTTTCTTTTTTGTTTTGTTTTCTCTTTCATAGGAAGAGTGATGCGTGCATCTCTATCCAAGTGTTTCTTTCGCCGGGCGTCCCACTAGCAGCGTTGAGCTTTCTCAACGCCCGAATCTGGACTTGTTTGTGGAGACGTGCAGTTGACGAAACTCAACGCAGTTTTCTGCACTGG